TGTACGGTATTGCTTAAGAGGGTGGGACTGGAACTCAGGTGACCTGAGCCATGGAGCTGAGTGACTTTGGGCCAGTCACAGATTCTTAGCCCAACCTACTCTGCAGGGTTGTTGTTGAGAGGTTAGTATTGAGAGAATCATGAAAACCACCTTGAATTCCTTGAAAAGAAAAAAGGTGGGATATAAATATAATAAGAATAAACTCTTAACAGAGTGTGGTTTGCCATACAATGGAAGGGAGGTTGCTGTTCCAGAAACAGATCTTACACACTTTTGGGACCACCAAGGCAGCTGGGCAAATCTTTCAGTCCTGGTCCTAGCTTCTTGGGATAACCAGTGAACAGAAAATATTGTACATCCTTCCTCTCCTCAACAAAAGATACATTAGAGGAACAGCAAGATTACAACTATAGCCAAAAGCTTATGTAAAAATTAAGAACCTTTGAAGTGCATTGTCAAAAATATTGACATAACCTTCAATCTTTTTAATGAGGCCATTTCTCCAAATCTTCTTGGATATCCAATAGCCCATATGATAATTAATTTGACCTTGATAGGCATCATATTAGATTAAGCTTTGCTGAGGGCCAGTTGTGACACTGGTACTACAAAATGGTTCTCACATGCAAGGGTGAGGAACTATCAATATGCAAATCCCAATGTGTTGATACTGTTTACATACTTACACTGAGGGTCTCTCACCACCTCAGGTTTCAGCAATAAATATATTAGCTCATCTAAACTTTGAGTACAAAAAGTTCAGCAAGAATGACCTTCCATCATTTTGTAGCTATCAAGAACTTTATATTGCCACTGTAAACTGAGACTCTTGGTTGGCTTTTGATACTTCTAGCACTTTGACTGAATGCAAAGACACCCCCGACACATACACACAGCCGATAAATCAGCCTTTCCAAGCCTTATGATTTTCTAGAAAATCAAAACATCTGGAGAGCAACAAAATGGGGAAAGCTGCAATAACCCATATAACTTTTCCTAAAATATAAAAATGTAAATCTTATCCTCAGGTTCACAGCAAGCTCCTTCATTTCTTATCCAAGAAAGCAGTGACAGCAGTACAGTGAATTACTGCAGAAAGGAAATAGTATTAAGTTTTCTCCAGTCTTTCAAATGTCCTGGTTGTTGGTGTGGCTGTACTCTAATGGGGCACAGGAGCCAGATTTAGACCAAGATCCTGTAAGCATTTCATGGCCAGTGAGAGGTGGCCATCCATTTCGGAATTTACTGAAGACTGAGTGCTATGCAAGCAGTGAGGAACAGCGGTCAGAGTGTCATGCAGTTAACTGGTAATCATGGGCTAGTCATTCTCTCAGCCTAAGCTACATCACTGGATTATTCTGAGGATTCCACTTCAGCTTCTTTGTTAGTTATATCCCTTTTTTAAAGCAAGTTAATTAGGGAGTCATTTCCAAAGCTTTATCCAATAATATTTGAGATGTCTATGGAACTTTTCAACAAATTCATATACTTGCACTTTAGATGGTTTTCTTCAAGCAGAAACAGCATTCAGAGTAAAACCAATGCCACATTCTTTCCTCTAAGTATTTACTATATGGCCTGCTAATTCTTCAAGAGCATTAGTTGGCTCAACTTAAGTATAATTAGCAATAATGTGAATGAAATGCTGTGGTTACCGTGGTATTAGTATACCTTAACTCGTTTTCCCAATATTTTCCATTTATATGAACACTGCTGGTGGAACAGATTTCCCAACTGCTCCAGGGGACAGAAAGAACCTCTGGAGTAGATTAGAGCAGCAGCAGAAGAGCAAGGGATAGGGCTGTTGAACAAACAGAAGCCTGCTAATGCAAAATCGGATTTACCTACAGCCTATAAATGAATAAAATTAACTTACACTTGAGTAACTATTGACCTTCATGTTTCTAAGGCATTCAAGCTACAATCTTATACATACATTCTGGGGAACAAGTTCTACTGAAGTAAATGGGACTTAGTTTTGAGTAGACATATAGTCATATATGTAATCTAAGATTGCAGTGTAAATAAATGTACAAGCCCTACCAAAACTTTTGTCGAATTTCCTAGGAATTGGAAAGCAATAATCCAAGCAAGATCCAATTATGTTTTAATTTGCTACAGTAAATATCAAGGACTTCAGATAAAATATGATTTAAGTATACATCTTTTGTACACAAATATTTTAAAATAAAAGCAACAGCTTATGTGCTTAACAGATGAAAATCTTACAAGAGCTCTGGCAATCATAATAAAACTATATAATTTTATGATGATTGTATTGTTTGAATGGGAACAATGGGCTGCTAAACATTCTTTTATTCAGAAAAATGCTATTTAAGCATAGATGCTGCTTTTCATAAACAGGCAATATACAGTATATCACAGGAGTACACCCCTCACATTTTGTAAATATTTTATTATATCTTTTCATATAATAAAAGATTATATGAAACCCTGAAGAAATGACACTTCGCTACAATGTAAAGTATTTATTTATTTATTTATTTATTTAAAACATTTCTATGCTGCCCCATTGCAATAAAGCCTCGGGGCAGCTCACAAAACATCAATAAATAACAATACAATAAAACACCAGTGCAATAAAACCTCAGTGCATTCTCGGCTAAATTTTTTTTAAAAAAACCAGTTAAATAAATAAACAATTAAAATAAGTTTTAAATAAAAAGGTCTTAGCCTGGTGCCGAAAAACAAATAACGACAGTTGCAGGCGGACCTCTCTGGGGAGCGCATTCCATAAATGGGGCGCCACCGCAGAGAAAGCCCTCCTCCGGGTACTCACCCTCCTGATGTCATTCACAGATGGTTCCCGGAGAAGGGCATCTGCTGCTGACCTCAAGTGGTGGGAGGGTATATATGGGAGCAAGCGTTCCTTTAGGTATCCAGGTCCCAAGCCTAGTAGTGAGCATACAGCTTGTATAACAGTGTAAATTTGCTGTCCCCTCAAAATAACTCAACACACAGCCATTAATGTCTAAACTGCTGGAAACAAAAATGAGTACACCCCTAAGTGAAACTGTTCAAATTGGGCATTATTAGCCATTTTCCCTCCCCGGTGTCATGTGACTCGTTAGTGTCACAAGGTCTCAGGTGTGAATGGGGAGCAGGTGTGTTAAATTTGGTGTTATCGCTCTCACTCTCTCATACTGGTCACTGGAAGTTCAACATGGCACCTCATGGCAAAGAACTCTGAGGATCTGAAAAAAAGAATTGTTGCTCTACATAAAGATGGCCTAGGCTATAAGAAGATTGCCAGGACTCTGAAACTGAGCTGCAGCACGGTGGCCAAGACCATACAGCAGTTTAACAGGACAGGTTCCACTCAGCACAGGCCTCGCCATGGTCGACCAAAGTTGAGTGCACGTGCTTAATGTCATATCCAGAGGCTGGCTTTGGGAAATAGACGTATGAGTGCTGCCAGCATTGCTGCAGAGGTTGAAGGGGTGGTGGGTCAGCCTGTCAGTGCTCAGACCATACGCCGCACACTGCATCAAATTGGTCTGCAGGGCTGTCATCTCAGAAGGAAGCCTCTTCTAAAGATGATGCACAAGAAAGCCCACAGTTTGCTGAAGACAAGCAGACTAAGGACATGGATTAGTGGAACCATGTCCTGAGGTCTGATGAGACCAAGATAAACTTATTTGGTTCAGATGGTGTCAAGTGTGTGTGGCAACAACCAGGTGAGGAGTACAAAGACAAGTGTGTCTTGCCTACAGTCAAGCATGGTGGTGGGAGTATCATGGACTGGGGCTGCATGAGTGCTGCCGGCACTGGGGAACTACAGTTCATTGAGGGAACCATGAATGCCATCATGTACTGTGACTTACTAAAGCAGAGCATGATCCCCTCCCTTTGGAGACTGGGCCACAGGGTAGTATTCCAACATGATAATGACCCCAAACACACCTCCAAGATGACCACTGCCTTGCTAAAGAAGCTGAGGGTAAAGGTGATGGACTGGTCAAGCATGTCTCCAGACCTAAACCCTATCAAGCATCTGTGGAAGGTGGAGCGCAAGGTCTCTGACATCCACCAGCTCTGTGATGTCATCATGGAGGAGTGGAAGAGGACTCCAGTGGCAACCTGTGAAGCTCTGGTGAACTTCATGCCCAAGAGGGTTAAGGCAGCGCTGGAAAATAATGGTGGCCACACAAAATATTGACACTTCGGGCCCAATTTGGACAGGGGTGTACTCACTTTTGTTGCCAGCGGTTTAGACATTAATGGCTGTGTGTTGAATTATTTTGAGGGGACAGCAAATTTACACTGTTATACAAGCTGTATACTCACTCCTTTACATTGTAGCAAAGTGTCATTTCTTCAGGGTTGTCACATGAAAAGATACAATAAAATATTTACAAAATGTGAGGGGTGTACTCACTTCTGTGATATACTCTAAGTACCTTTTTTGACTCATATCCTTCTTAGGTCACTGAAGAACCACCTCTCTAAACATACTTTATTTTTAAAGCTTTCATACCACATTCTCTGCCATAACATAATTGTACCCAAGTGGTATATGTACAAATTTCCGAAGAAAAAAAGTTCAAACAGCCAACTTTAAAGGCTGCATTATCATTGAAAAACCAACTAAAATATACCAATTAAAACATGAGAAAATAGCCTATAAACCACATACAGTTAACAACCTCGTGTGTGTAAAGCACGTATTAGAGCATTCTGGTGCAGTGCAGGCTACATACATCATGGCAAATGTACACTGGACAACCATGAGATGCAATTGGGCGCATGCATTTATCTAAGCATGCAGAGTTCCTTCAGTAAAGATCCCCCACTTGGTATGGGCCTCACTACTACCTCATGAGTTCTTTCAAACTGAAGATAATATCATCAAATTCTGTGAATGAGGCACAGCAACTGCATAATAATAGTCCAGAAACACCCTTGTTGGTGAAGAAATCTAGTAGTATGCATGCAGAACAAGGTTTCAAATACTATTAATTATACACAAAAGCACTTGATTGGCATAAAAAGTAAGAAACTATAGTTTATTTAATACGAACATCACATGAAAATACTGCATATACAAATGAGCAAAAAATACAAATCTCTATTTGTATCTAAACAAGCTATTGCTATATCTCCATCTACATATTATCTTGAATCCAAAATGATGTGTGTTGCTTTGTGCGTTGGTAATCCTGTGCAGGTTCCCCATGTTGCATCATGAAAAATTTCAAGGGCCTCCAAGCCTCAGAAATGTTTTCTTGGGATGGGGGAGAAGGATCTACAGGGAGAAAAGAACAGGAACGGCCCAGTATGTATAGTTTCTTTCTGGTACAACACTGTGCATTTAAGAACTATAGGGATGGATCCAGGTAAACATAATTACTTAAACTGAATACCTATTTCCACTGATTAGTTGATCACTATAGGTATGATACATTAACTCTCTTTATAGTTACAATTATTTAAATTATCATTCTAGTACTGATTGTAATTTTATACATACTACATAGTGAATAGTTACTTTGAAGAACAACTTTGCTATTTTAATTGTGCTGTTAGTAAACTATATAGATCTGGTTCAGTCCTGACACTTTCTATTGAATGAGCAATGTGCAGAACATTTGCAGACACCCTGACCTTTCTAATGTACACCTCTCCTCCATTTGTGGCAGTGGTAGTAACAACACATTTGTTTGCCACCTCAGCATGGTAGCAAAAAGGAGCAAATTATATTTTTAAGTGCCTTCTTTTCAAGTGAAATCACCACTGGAATATAAGAATAACGATCAAAGATGAGCAGCCTTCTCCAACCTGGAGCCTTCAAGATGTTTTAGGTTTCATCTCCAGGCATCATGGTCAATAGGCAGGAACACTGGGACTGATCATCCGAAACATCTTAAGGACCACATCTGGAACTAGGAGAATTAATAATGTGCTTTCATGGTCATCAAGTTGTGTGCTTTTAATATATTCTTGAAATATTTTTGCATGCACACCTATTCAAGATCATACTATAGAAAACCTTTTAGCAAAGATGTGCAGCTCTTAGAGGTTGCCTTTTAATACTAGAATAAATTTTAACTCAATACAAAATATATTTACTATATATTAGAAAGTGGAAAGTAAAACTATATTAAATTTAAGCTTTAAATTACTTTAACTGTTTCAACTAACTCCCTGCAGCCATTTGTAGCTTCCAGAAAGAACCCTCTCGAATAGATTATTGGAGAGTGCAAGCAGCTGCAGAAGAAGAGAGAATTTGAAAAGGTTGCTTCCTTTCCTTCTGCCAGTGAAATTCCTCCTCCAGATAGAGCATATTCTGGGTGGGGATGATGACAGCTGTGGTCCAAAATATCCAAGGTTGGTGAAGGCTGCAGTAAGCAGTTAGTACTGTGCGTCTTATTGTTCTACAGGATCATATCTCATAAAATACAAAGTACTTAAACATGCTTTGTGACCTCTGACCACCAATAGCACCTAAAATGTAAGAAAATCCACTAAATGTAATGCCCTAGAAGTTAAAAAAAATCTATTCTGATGCTTCCATTTAATCCTTTTGTCACTTGGGACAGAATACAAGCCCACATTTTTGTTGTATGCAGCATAACAAAACAGGATCTTTTAGTTGTTTTATGGCGTGTCTAAAAGGCAGTCTAGCAAGTTAATAAGTATGAATTCAGTGCACAAATTGAGCAGTTTAACAGAATTTTCCAGAGTTAATAATCACAATATGACTGCCAAGTACAGTCAGTTTGAAACCGCTTCATTGCAGCAGCCATTCCAAGCAGCGAGACATTTTGTGTATACTGGCTCTCCTCGCAATGTGTCGTTACAATTTGGTTTCTCTTATCATTGTCTCTAGCTGGTTTCTAAAATATTTGGCATCAATATTTGTGTAGAAGTATATAGCAGCAGTAATTATTCTGGCACATACACAAGAACAGATCAGTTGCAGAGGCAGTTTCAAGTATAATCTACATAACTGAGAAACAGGCATCAGTGCAGACTAAAGGAGACACCATACTATGGTGAGAGCTGCCACAATTCCATTCAGAATGGCCATACTATAGCCCATGTGAAAAGAGTGCCCTGTCATTCGCCTGGAAAAAAAAAAGCAGAAAGTCAATTGACAGGTAACAGGAACAGCAAGAGTCAAACCATGAATAATGTTACTTAATACATTCTAAAATTAACATCAGTTTGTACAGTAAAAATGGCAAGTATAATTCCAGTAACAGGATTCATTGGATTTTTGCACGGATGCATTCAAAGTTAACCTCTGATAACTGCAACGTAACACATGGAAATACCCTACCAGGAAGCCCGGTGATTCAGTGTTTTTTGTGGACAGCTACCATTGCATTCCTTCCCACATAGTTTAAATTTGTGCTGGATCTATTCTCCATAGTATTTATCATAACAGAACAGGTAGCAACTTTTAGATTTAGGATAAATGAATCGTGTGCTTCAGGCATTCCACAAAAGCAGCTATAAAAATCCACAGTTGCTAAATCAAGCAGACATATGAGATACAGAAAAAAATAGTTCAGAAAATATACTGAGAGAATACACCACTCTTAACAGAGAGAACAGCACTGAAAGCTGTGTTATTTAAAAGCAATACAGTTAAGCAAGAACCCTTCTTTGTATCTTATCTTAACCACACATATTAGGCGTCAGGAAAATGAATATCCTTCCAAAGAGTCAGACTTAATAGGAAAGTCTTATATTGTAAGTTCTGAATAGCTAATTATAAAGAACTAATAACATGTCAAGTATTTAATCCAACGGAACAAACACAAGCCTCCTAATAAACTCAGTGTACACTTTCCTATGGAGAAACAGTCATATGCATTGCCATCCTTACCCACATCCCACCACACCACCTACTGGCTAGAAGGTTACAGCGTTTCTCCAAGTAACAGTTATGAAGGTTAAAAACAATGGTGGATAGAGGAAAGGCAGCAAATACATGTAGGGAGTGAAAATATCAAAGCTAAATATAAAGATAAATTATTTAGCCCTGCTCAGAGTCCATACACATACAATACAGATAAACAATGGAACCAAAAAAGTGCAAATAATTGCCAAGAAAATTATTTCAAGGCAACATAGATTTTTAAGGCCTGCATAAGAAACAACTTGCTAACATTTACAATGTCTATACAGTTTTTTTTGTTGCAGACCAGCTTTATTATAAGGCACATCAGAGCAACAACTCTGGCCACTGCAGGCCATACTCCTGTCTCATCTTTTTTATTTATTTTATTTATTAAAACATTTTTATGCCGCCCCATTCGCCGAAGCCTCGGGGCGGCTTCAGTACTATCATGCAGTCAAGCATCGATGCATGAACCAAACAAGAAATGAGTCATGGACAATGTAAGACAAAGTCCAGCATGAGGGCCCAGGCCAGTAATAGCCAATGTACCTAGGCTTGAATGAAGAACTAGAGGTATGCGCCCACGAACTTTGGGCTACCACAGATAATGTGCCCATACATTCATACATGTGCTTTCCATAGGATGACGCACTGATCAGTTACTGTGAAGGTTCCTTCTAGTGTGATAGAACTATACACAAAAGGGTGTGACCCCAGTGATGGCCTTCAATCTCTTAGCAGGTTTCAATACTATTACCATAGAATCCTTCTGGGACAACCTTCTGAGCCAAGATGGGGGTACTGCATTGCAGTACTTGGAAGGCCATCTCCAGAAGACGGTGCCTGTGGAATACTGTTCAGCTCCAAGGATTCCCTAGGAGTCTGTTCTGACCCCCATGCTGTTTAATAGTTATACGAAACCACTGAGTGAGGGCATCTGGAGTTCTGGAGTGTGTTGCTATCAGTATCCTGATGACACACAGCCCTATTTCTCTTTCTCATTAGCAGCAGGTCAGGCTGTGGATATGCTAAACCAGGGCTTGTCAATAAATAATGGACTGAATGAAAGGTTATACACTGAAGCTCAATCCAGACAAGACTGAGATGCTGTTGCTGAGTGGTTCCTTTGACCAGATGGAGGGTGTTCAACCCATCAGAGGAACTGCAAGTTTCCTGAAAGAACAGGTTCATAGCTTGGGGGTTCTTCTTGATTTGACTTTGTCACTTGAGACACAGATAGCATCAGTAGTTCCAAGTGCCTTCTATCAGCTTCAGCTGGTGGACCAGCTACACCCCTATCTGTGCAGGATTTGCTTGTGCAGGATAGTCTGTTGTGCCATCTGAACCCTGTCATGGTATTTCAGCATGGCATGTGTGTGTTTAGAAACCACAGTAGGAAACAATGCTCTGTCCTATGGTTTCTATGTTTCACCATGGTTTTTCCGGTCATTGAACTGTGGCATTGTGATTTCCACAATCCTAGCATGCAGCTACCACAGTCTGCTGGAAAGAACAGCACCCTGCAGGAGCTTCTCTGGCCATTCAGTGAGGGATTGAATTTCAGGTGCAGTGGCTGATGGAATATGTCCCAAGAGCTGAAGAACTGAGTAAATTGCGTGGAAATCACATTTGCTCATCTCTCAGGTACATCCAAGCAAAACACTGCACACTATGGAAACCATGCAGGCTTGTTATGACGTAGGAATGCAGTCACTGTCCATTTAATCACCTATTGAGAGTACTGTGGGATGTGTAACAAACACCACTGGTGGCATTTTCTCAGGGTAGTTTAGCATAACATGAAAATTTTCCCAGCAACTGTTAAGGATCAATAACAGCTACGGTTGATATAGGATTTTTGTAAATTAACTTGAAAAGCTAATTTACAAAAATAGGACTCATTTGAACGCCATAGAAACAGAGATATTACAATATCATCATTCGTTTTCAACCATTTCCAGTAACTGGCGCTTTTAAAATGTGCTCTGCTTCAAGCATGACATTGCAACTTTTAATAAATTGTTTCTTATGCTAGTCTGATCGTTTTCTGAAAATAAGCTCAACTTTATTTTTATTGGAAACATAATTACTTAACAAACAACAAGGCATGAAAAAACCCAAACATTGGCTACCTCCAGTTCCCACAGTAATCTACTGTTACTCTAGGGTGATAAGGTGTTTTATTTAAATAAGGTTTTCACTACCTTCATTGTTTTTTCCTAGCTGTCCAGCATGAAATTTGAACTGATAAAATCATGGATATTATTTAACCTCACTCCAAAGCTAAGTAAGTTCATTAAAAAGATAGAGAGTAAGAACACACAAAGAATTGTGAAATATGTATAGTATATTGTGAAAACAATATATATTAGATATTTGAGAAAGTATAGTTCTGTGAATTCTAACTGGTCAAATACAAAATATAAATGGATTTTGATACTTTTTGATGCTGCATTCAGAAATACTAAAGGTATTAAGGTACTAAAGAAAACTAGTACTAGCACACACCCTGCTGGTCAGCTTTTAAACCTTTTTAATTTGATATTTTAAAAATATTTTCTTTCTAATTTTTAAATGTGAGGTAACCAAACTGCTTTTAACATCAAAATCATATTATATTAGATAGCATGGAAAATATGTCCAACAACAATTTCTAAAAGTATTGAATCCTTGATTACATATAAAATGGGTTTGCACTATTTTAAACCAGACAGTTTTGACTCCACTCTGGTAGCTGATCTGCAGCAATGGGCATATATTCATCACCGTCTAATTCAGTAGCAAAGTATTTTTTAAACATATTCATTATAGCAGACTATGTGACGCTTAATAAGCATTTCGCATTCATTTCATACCCAGTCACACTTCAGTCTTATTAAAATGGTACTCACTTGAACCGTGCAGGTGATAGTGGAGTAGGAGGAAACATTCCTGGTTCAAAGGAATCAAAATAGGTCACTGTCCAAGAAAAACTGCAACATGACAACCCAGCCATCAAGGCTAGAACAAGAAGACTCCAAAATCCTTATGAAACAAAAACACAACTGTAAACCATGAAAGCTCAAAGGACAACTTTTAACAGAAAGAACACATGAAGGCTGCTCCAACCTGATTGCCAGGAAAAGTTCTCTCCCAGTCCACAATAATGGAGACAATACTTTTCAGATATTTATAATCAGAAACTACACATATTTATAATCAAATAGATATTACAATTAGATTCTATGTATATTTGCTCAAAAATCCCAGATGAAGGGGATTTGCTCCCATTTCAGTATGCATAATTTATATCTTCATTAGTTAAGACAACAGCAATCTTTTTATGCAAAGCAGTCACCATCTTTTTAAAACAGTGAAAGTACATGAACACAAATCACATAAATGATATCATAGAGAGTAATCATATCGTAATAGTGTTCTAAATTATTACATAATACTTTTATTCCTACATGACATATGACTATGACAGAATACACTTTACTGTAATTTTTATAAGGGATGGAATCCATACTAATGTTAATGAAACAATCAAAGTTCCTACCATTATACAAAACACTACAGGTATTTGAAAAGATACTTTGCATTTTTTTTTTAAAAACCCCTCTTTATAGAGTATGCAAATTATGATACAGTACATACTGATTAAAGAATGAGTGACAGGATGATTAATCATAGTCAATAGCAATTCCCCCTAAATAAACTTAAACTACTTCAGTTTCAAAATTAAGTTACAAACAACCTTTCCTTACCTAAAATGCTCATTTCTGTACTATCTTCAGTTTTCACTTTAACATATCGCAAATCTGTAGGAAACCAAGTTGTTACATAGTGCTTTGTCTCATTACTTTCTGGACTTTACTTTAGAATGCAGTTCTATGGCCCCTAGACATTATTGGGGTGGGGGCAGCGAGAGCACACAGCATACTTTTGATTCTCAGACCTGAGTTTGAAACAGCTCTGATACTCCTGCCTCACAGCAATCATGGAAACAACCTTGTCAGCTGCCACTCCAAGGTTGGGAACACAACCCTAGAGAGGGAGTAAAGAGGAACATTCCAGAGGACAGAGACAGAAAAGGCCTGCAGCAGAGTGGATTTGATTTAAATCATGATTTAAATTACTAGTCAGTAAGACTAGATTGAAATCATGTTTTTCTACATAATTTGCACACATGCCTGCTTTATCTGTAGGTAGACAAACTTCATTAAAATATTTCCAAACTGGCCCTCTTTTACAGCCTGTTACAATTATAGGTTTTCTCCTCAGGAAAATAATATGATAAACCTCCAAAGGATCTTTTCTTGTGGAGTATTCTGCTCAAAACGGTTTACTTTCATTTTTACTGCTTGCCCCTCCCTCCTCACACTTAGTTTCTGCATTCCCAACAATCTTATTTTAATTCAATTTTTGAAACTTAGCACTTAATTAGTATGGGGTTGATTCTGTGTACATAGATTTGCAAAGGGACAGTGGGCTTAAGGTCTTTTTTCTCAACTCTCTATGTTTATTTTATAACATTTTTGCTGTGAAGGAGAGGCACATGATCTTTGCAGTTAATTTTGACAACTGCAAAACAAAGCAACTGTGCTAATATTTACTAGATAGAAAAACTGACCAGTAATCTTACAAAAACCTCTAGAAAAACATGGCATTGTGAATGGATTAATAAAACTCGACCAAAAATCTAAATGTTGCACGAATAGGCAGCCTCATGCTTCATAATGAAAAACTAATCCCTATTTCATAATGAATAATCTTTGGACTATAATGTATCTTAAACAGAAAGCTATCTATAAATAGATTTTTCTCAAAATGCAATTTATTTTAAAACATGTCTTTTATTTTTTTTAAAGTTTTGACTTTTTTCCATCCTGGTCTGCAGGGGTTAAGATATAAGCTGTCCACTGTCCCCTGCAGACTCCTTCCTTCTTAAAAATCCAGTAAGTAAAAATCCAGAGCCCTAAGTATGAAGGGATTGACATTGATAGCAATTAGCCCCCTCTAGGCAATTGCCCACCAATTTTGCATGTTCCCAGGGTGGCAGTAATTCTAGAACAGTGCCAAAATAGAGGAGACATGGGAGAGACTCATTTTCAGCTAAAAATGCCTGTGCCTTTTGAAGCATTTGCAGCTCAGTTTCACAGGTGTCAGATTCTTCAAAACGGGGAGGAATAGTCAGGGTGGGTGTTTCCCAGACGGGACACGTTAGGGGCCCTGGTCTTACCACGTCCTTCCCTACACCTTATGAACAAGACAAATCCTCTAGGCGTACAAAATACTAACCAACAATGTCCCAATCCCTTCACTCGGAGCAGCGGAAAACGCAACACTCTCCATCGTACCTTACAGCGTCCCTAAGAAAGCTAATACGTCAAGCGTACTAAGATATCCTATTTGGCATCCCGAAATGCTCTCTCTCGCTTGGTGCTGTCGAACGAAAACGTCATCTGCCCACCAAGAGGGACGAATCTGTCCTTCCCCGACAACAGTCCCCCCCCCCCCCGGTCACCTCTCAATACGGAGCAAGCGATGGCCAGCAGGAACGCGAGTAGGGACACGGCCGAGAGGCAACAGAGCACGGAGCAGGCCCTGCTGGGCCACCGGCGCCCCGCTCCGCCGGGTCCGTGCGGCAACGGTGCAAGGCCAGCGCGGGAGGCATCCCAACTTCTACCAACGCCGCCTAGCACGTCCCCTTCACCATCAGCTTCCTCGAGCTCAGGCGGCCACGGAGTACCAGGGCCTTCACGGCCGCTCTGGCCATGACGAGCGATGGCGGCCCTATAATGCACAGCCATACCAACGGAACGCTCAACGAGCGAGCCCAGACCGAACGCCCGCCAAAGGAAGCGGCTTTCAAACTTCCTCCCGTCAAACGGAAGTCTACTCAGCCAAAGGGGCGGACGTGTAGGATACTCTAGCCGGAAAAGGGGGGGGGAAAGAATGGCTCGAAACTCCGCCTGTTCCGCCTCCGCGCCGCTCCAGCAGCGGATGGGCCCAGAGGACGAACTTCCCATGATGCTGTGTTTCCTTGAAGGAAACAGCGCGACGGCGCGTGGCATGCGAGCGAGCCCCTCCTCTCCTTTGCCTCCGCGGGCTCCTTTCTTATTCGCCTTCCGCCTCCTGTCTGTTTAGGTGCGGTTCCTTTGGGCTTCCGTAGCCCTGCCCCCAACCTCCGCTTGCGAGACTTCTCTCCCAGCATCCATTGCGCGCGCGCGTCCCCCGTTCTTCCCGCCCCCCTTCCCCTCTGCACTTTCCATTCCACCTCAGGCCTCGGCTTAATGGGCTCTGACCCACGCGCGCCATTTCCCTCCTGCTGAGAGCAGGAGCAGCTCCCTCCGGGCCTTCCCCTCCCCGCACCCGCGCTGGTGTGCGCTTTTCTTTGTCCCGCCCACACCGTCCCGTCGGCTGCGGCTCCTCACGGTGGCGGCGAGGCTGACTTTCGACCAGCCCCTGTCCCCTTCCCGGTAGGCCCGGCCTTCACACACACTTCTTCGCTCGCTTTTCGCCAACGGTTTCGCGCAACTCGCGTCGGAGCCGGAAGGGCAGGCTCGCCGGAGCCGGGCCCGCCGAAGGGGAGGCGATGTCTGGCGGGGAATCGGCAGCCGCCGCGGCCTCCCCTCAACCGCTCCCCTTCTCCCTGCCCAAACCACCTCCCCTTATGCAGCTCAACCCCGGCGAAGGCGTCCGCCCTGTGGTGGCCGCCGGTCCGGAACAGTCGCCGAAGAGCGCCCGCATGGGAGGCCGACCGGATTGGCCGCCCGGGAAGCCCGTCAGCCTCTTGGCTCCTCTCCTCCCTCCGCGAGGGGAGCCCGAACCTCTGTTGCCCTTCGGGCCGTCCTCCCGCCAGCCGCTCAGGGGGAGAATGCTCGGCAGGTGCGGCGGGGGAGGCGGCGGGAGCCTCCTGAATCCTTCGATGCGACCAGGCGGTGGAGGAGGCGGCGGCGGCGGCGGCGGCGGTGGCGGCGGCATGGGCCGAGAGTCCCTCATGGTGAGTTTATTATCAGTAAACTCTTTTTCCTCGTGGTTGGGGTACCAGACGGTTATGTGGCGTGCGCGGCGTTATTTGCCATTCATTCCTCAATTTTTCAGTGCAATCTTCAAAATATAGCCGAAATTTAGAAACGAATCTGTTTTAATCTGCGTACCAGAAATAAGAGATATGATGGGTTGGGAGGAAGTCTAATAAGGTATAAGGGAGCCCGCTTCAGTCACCCCTAAGTGTTTCCATGGCAGGCACAGCCTTGTGAAAGAAGTGGCAGTTCTATCATATCTGAGTTCTAATAATTTCTTTTTTCCCTTAAGTATTTAAAGCATATTGCGTGGAGCATGTTACTTCCAAAGTTAATATATTAGAATACTTTGATTTAGTGCACGATTCAGGCTGGCTAACTATTAGCTGGATGGTTATGCATTAACCTTAGAACAAGTTGACACCGTGGTTGATAACCCTGTGTTCAGTAGTAATTTTATAGCCATAAAATAAGAAATGTGACTTTTTACGTGTTTTGATTTTGTACATTTATGGTAAATAATTGAGTATGTTTGCAGTAATTGACAGAGACAAGCAGAGAACCAAATAGGAATACGGTTATTAGCACATTGGTGTTTAAAATCTGTGACATCGTATAATTTAATTATTGTTATTAATATATCCCTGGTAGCACTTCAGTTCTGTAGCTGTATCGTATTCTTTTAGCCATTCCCATTGACAGGGGCAAAGAGTAGAAGTAATTTTTTACTACTCCTAGAAACTAGTTTCATAATGGAAGATAATTCAAATTTGCACAGAAAAGAATTGGGTGATCAGAAACTTATGGTATGCTTAGCGCCATCTGAATCAAGAAAGCCACAGTGTGTAAACCAAGTGCAAATTCTAGTTTCTGATTCTTACTTGTAATGACAACAACAAGTAAGGACCTCTGGTGCAAACAATATACTGAAAATGCCATTCTTTTTGGTTTAGAAGTTGCGATAACAAGGCAGAACAAAGCAAAGATGTACAGGCTGTGTTTACCAGTGCACAACTTTTCAGTAAGCCAGGATTGTCTAGAACTCTGAATTAAGTTTCTATATGAATGCGATCAATATATATGAAGCACTTTCAGTACTTGAATATAAGTGTCATTTTTTCCAATAACTGTATAAGGGTAAACACAAAATAGGCACTGTATATAGCAAAACAAGTATTCCAAACTTAGTTGCTTGTAACTTTATGTTATCACCAAACCACAGGATATACCATTAGAAACAAGTAGGTTTTTTCATGGAAGCTAACTAGTCAAATACCTTGATGTTCTTTCTCATCTCAACAGTGCCAGTTGAAATCTAATGAAGGACATGGCTTAGTACTGATTTGTTTTTAGTAGACTTCAAGCATCTTAGAAACCTAATGTGTGAACTAGTCCAATAATTTGCTGAAGTATTTAACTGAGGCTATTAATTCCATTTTACTCTTTGAATGTTGCTGGTTAAATTTATTTAGACAGTTAGAAAGTACGGTTCAGATCTGTCAGATATTTATTTATTTATTACACTTTTATGCCGCCCAGTAGCCAAAAGGCTCTATGGATGGTTAACAGAATTAAAAGGAAACAACAAAACACAGCCAACAAAAAGAAGAGCAATAAACCAATAAAATAGCAATAGACTAACTACAATGGCTACAGTTAAGTTGTGGAAAAGATGTAGTGGTGGATAAAAAATACAGCACAATGTTAAACTAAAATAAAACCTTTCAATTCTTAAAAAGAATTAGGGTTACATTTTCAAATAAAGTTTTATCTGGCATTGAAAAGAAAAAAGGGTCATTGCCAGGCATACTTCTTTGGGGAGTTCATTCCATAAATGGAGTGGCACCACAGAGAATGCCTTTCTCCTGGTTGACACCCTCTGTACTTCTGTTAGAGGGGGTTCTGGGAGAAGGACCCTGAAAGATGATCTTAGGGCCTGGGTAGGTACATAGGGGGTGGGATGTTCCTTCAGATAACCTGGCCCCAAGCTGTTTAGGGCTTTGAATGTTAACAGTAGGACTTCAAGAGGCAGGCAGCACAGCTGAAAGAGGACTGGCAAGATATGATCTCCTAGACCAGTCCCTGTTAACAGCTTTACTACCCTATTCAGAATCAGTTAGAGTTTCTGGACTGTTCTCAAAGGCAGTCCCATATAGAGTGCATTAGAGTAATCCAGGTTACCATAGCATGAATCACTATCACTAGGCTCTGTCTGTCCAGATGGGTTCTCTGTTAGTGTGTCAACCTAAGCTGACAAAAGGTGCTTTGTGCCACTGAGTCCACTTGTGGCTCAAGTGACAGTTCTGGATCCAGGAGCATCTCCAAACTGCAAATCTTTTCCTTTAGGGGGAGTGCGGCCCTGTCCAGTACTTTATGGCATAATTGCCATGGTATGGAGCAGTATTTTCCCAGCACCTCCTTCTGAAATGGATTGGCCAGTTAGGAGCAGAACCAACTCCTAGTCCAGCTAATCTATCCAGAAGGGTACTGTAGTTAATGATATCAAAAATCACTGAGAGGTATGCAGAGCCTATGCAGAGGTCCTCAATGATTTTAAATCAATAGTTCAGTTTCACATTTTGAGGGGTTCTATGGGCACTCCCATGAAATAGCTGTCATAGTAGTGAGTTCAGTCATAAAACTCCTTGAGCGGTGTCAGCTTTGATACTGCTGCTGCCATATACCAATTGCTACAATGCATAGTTCCTTTCATGTGCAATAGAATAGTCTATTGCCCATTTGCCAGAACATCTCCCTTGGATAGGCCTAGAATCTGTGTATCTGACACCAGTTACTCAATGAATGGCACTGGGCTCCACACACAGAGAGGACCGGATTCCCCTCCCCCCATTCAGGCAGCCAGAAAGACATGACAGATGTTGGCATAACAAATGTGCTTTGACCCTTTCTTACATGCCAAACTTGCAATCTGGTTTAATCCAGATCTGAGGATTGCCAGGCAGCTGTTCTGTACACGGGGCTGAGGTATCCTCAGTTTAGATCAACTAATAGGCAAAGTCTGTGAGTTCCTCTCCTTTGAAGATTTACAGATGAAATATCAACTCTCCAAAGCACACACTGGCAGCACCTTCCAATAAAACATATGCTCTGTTCCCTATGTGGCCCAGCAGCACTCACTGCCTCAGAATCCCAGCACTATTGGAAGACTTGGCCTCTACAAAGTCAACCAAGCGGACAATATAGTCTTACAAGAGACTTTTAACATACAACCATCTTGTCATCCAGACACTAAGAGAGGAATGGAGTGAAGAATTGGAATGCTGCATCCAACCACACCAGCGGGGGAAAGCTGCATTCACTATATGATCCATATCCCCTGACCTGAAACTGCCTTATACATATTGGACCCCACGGTGCCTATTTCAGAAAAAATATCACACTCTGATAATCATTGAGGGGCTGGAGAAACATCATTAGTGCACATGATGTGGAAATGCCTGGTGGTGGCCTCCTTCTGGACAGAAGTTTTTACACACACCGGCTTCATCCTAAATACACCTTTCTTGTTTAAGGGTGTCAGTGTATTGCTGAATTACATTCCCACGTCCCAGAAGCTATCCTCTCACCATCACAAGTGGACGATGATGGACCCTTATGGTGGCTAAGAGACTCCTACTATAGGGCTGGAAAGGCAAATCTTCTCCCTCAACCACACAATGAACTGCAGATCTCACAACATAAGGCATCCTCTGAGAGAACGTACTAATGATGACAACTTTGGTCAACCTACCTCAGCCTATATTTGAAACAGAAACTTTGAATATATGTGCATGTATGAGTGAGGGTATATGTATACATATATATTATTAGCAGTACTTTCAAGATCAGTTTAACACTGTGCAGTTGTGTGACTATGCATTTTTGTTTTCCTTTTCCTGCACACCCAATAAAATATCCATTGTACAATTAGTATATTCAATATAGAGAATAATAAAGTTATACACAAACATATACTAATTGCAAACACCATTGGCGTTATGGCAGAGGTTGCTAAAATGTAACACAATTTGCATTAGTAGTAATGCTGAATTAAATACATTCTCCAATTCCCAGAATGCAATCTAATACTAAAAGAATAGTAACCTGCCCCAGAATTTGAATATAAGGGAAGTATGAGATATTGTTTGCAAAATGTACAACTATTCTTTTGAACCCAAAAGCTTTCTACACCAGCATCCATTTCATATAAACATATACTGATGAGGTAAAGAGACAAGTAGCTCAGCCAAGAAGCTGAATGCAAATTAGAAGTGGGTTCTGAACCTCAAGTGTAGCATCATTTTTACCACAAAGTGCAGCAAAATATCCATTTCATTGAAGAACTATTTATATTTTGAGGCACACAACCCACACCAAGATTCCCCTACCAGCTAGCCCATATCAAAAGAAAACAATTGTGTACAAATAAACAAAATAAACAAAAAATGCTCAAATTACTTGCCACTTACTATAGCCCCTCAGGCGCAAAGTTTACCTTTCATTTACCTGTGCATACTTCAAATTGGGCTGATGTTGCCCAACTTCTTTCTTTTAAGGAGTGCCTTTGCAGTGTATGAGACACACAATACCTTTTTTGGAACTAAAGCATTAGAGACTGGCACATTGCTTTGAAACATGCCAACTTTCTAGGTTTTTGCTTTTTTAAAAATTGAGTCAAGAAAGGAAGGGGACATGGATACAGGCTCTGATGTGGGAAGAAATGAACGTCTTGACTTACTGTGTTTTCTTTGATGAATATGGTATTGGATGTAAATCACTTTTCCTTCTACTTTTGTTAATGAAAGTATTTGCTGGTTCAGACCTTCTTCCAATTTGGAGGACATTGACTGCATTCCCATGACACAACAATCCACCCTGGCAGGGTAGCTTAAGTTTTGGAATATCAAGAATCCATGAATTGTTGTAGGATTGTTTTGCTTACAATTTGTCATGTCATCTGAACTATGGTGACTGATTTTAATGTGAATTTTAATTTATATCTTGCCTTTATTCTTGCAAGAAACCCAGGCCTAACCCTCTTCATTTGATCCTCACAACAACACTTTGAGGTAGGTTAGGCTGAGTATACTGCCCTCAGTTGTGGCAATCAGCTACTCAGCAAGAGTGGTGCAAAAAGACCATACTGTTAGTTTTTGCTATCTCACTAGTGATTACTCTTCCACAAGCACTTTGTCACTTCCAGAAAGGTAGGTTGGAGGTCCATCACTTGTCTACTGACTTTGGGTTTTTTTTTTTTTTTTTAAGTGGTGCCTCAGAATGCACAATTAGGGTTGTAGTTTTCTTTATTACTGTTTTTGTCAGTTTTCCACAAGTTTACTCTTATGAATATTCAAGTATATTGCAGTATTGCTGCTCAATTTCTTGTCCGTTGTAACAGACAATAGATAGCCTACATGGAAACAGACAAAACAGTATTGGCTATCACCTAATTTGTGTCCTGTAACAGCAGTGGGGAAAAAATAACAGTATAAAGGGGCCTAGTACCACAAGTCAGAAGTAATGAAAATGGGGTGGGGAAGCCAAAGGAGTAAGTGTACCAAAGGGTGGGGGAGGCAGCATCTTCCTTTTAGTGATGTGATTATCCTGGTTTTAAGAATTCAGGATTCTATATTCTGTATCATCCACACCTTCAGCACTTTCCTGACTCTCCAGTTACTCCAGAAAGGAAATATAGTGAATCCCCTAGTCTTCACAGTTGTGTGCAAATTAGCCTGTGTGTTAGTCTTGTTTTGTCAGGGGTTCCTTTGTTCCTTACCTACTGCACTTCCTAATTCTCTTTGACAGCTGAAATAGATATGGAGATTGAGCTGATATGACTGGGGTGCATTTATGGACAGCCATGAGCACCCTTGCCCCCCCCCTCCAACACCCACACCTCTAATAGCATTTTTACATTTTGAGGCACCAGAAATAAACGATTTAAAAGTTACAGAAGAAAAATTGACAGTGATCTGAGTGACCCCAAGTGTGCAATTTGGGGGCATTGATGCCAGGGAACAAAGAACAAAGGTAGTGGTTGAAACAGGGAGGAGGAATGAGGCAGTTTTTGCCGCCAAAAGATGGCAGTTTCGGAACCATCTGGAAATGTGAAGGGGAAGGAGTGGAAAAAGAAGCCATGACATGCTATATTGTCTGTCAGCTGTACTGTGAGTTGTTAGTAAACAATCAACCCATTTGGATGTTTTACAAAGTGGCATAGTGTAATGTGCAAATCACCCTATTAGCTATTTACCAGAAGGAAGTTTTGAATCCCACTTAATATATACAGTTTTGGTCCTGGTTTTATTATGTTGTTCGGACAATTGGAGTCTCAGAAATAGATTATACTAGGAGTGATTCTCTGATATAGTTGAGGAGGGATATTCTAGAACAAAAACATTTTATATAAGATCTATTACCCTTTGAGTTATTGTAAACTTGTGGCACAACTTGTGGATTTCTGGCTAGGCTAACACACATAGAGGAGCACAACTTGTTAATCCTGCTGTATACTTTAAAACTATAGACTGCCAAAGTACTTAGGAAGACTGCTTTATGGCAAAATATTTAGTTCATCACATTTAATATTTATGCAGTTATGTATATTAAATTATATTAATATTTATATACATAAGAGATAAAATTTACAAAAAACTTGAATTGATGAACTGATCATTTCATGGTAGGATATTTCCTAGGATAAGATTAACTATGTTTGAAGCCCAGTTTGGTTGTATCTGTAGCAGTGTCTGGATTTGTATTGCTAAGTTCTTGGTATCTTAAATGGTGCTGTTATCTTTCAGATGGGACATCCTGGCATGCCTCACTACCCACCCATGGGCATGCATCCTATGGGCCAAAGGCCGCCTAATATGCCTCCAGTGTCTCATGGAATGATGCCTCAGATGATGCCTCCAATGGGAGGACCACAAATGGGGCAGGTATGTTGGCTTCTGTGTTTTTTGTTGCATTAATAAATAGTTTAATTAAAGTGAATTAAAGTTTTGAAACAGTAATTTAAATCCATTTTGGGACTTTCTATAGCTCACTAATAGTTGGCATTTATTCTGCGTTTCACATCATTGCAGTCTTTTTAATCTGCTTTTCTTTTTTGGAAGAAGTTTTAATCTTCATTGAATCAGAAGATTTCTTGCAAGTAGGCAACTTCCATTTTTCCTGCAGCAGTTAGATCTATAGAAAGATTGTAGCCTTTTATTGGCCAACATTGTTTCCCGCTTTACATTCTGTCACTCAAGAATCCTGAGTGCTATGGACAGTGAGCTGTTGGGCCCCATCAAGCTGAGCTTTTATTTCCTTTCCTTTATTTGTATTGGTTCAGAGCATGGATTTTAAAGAACCAAGTCAGCTTGGATTCAGGAAAGCTGGCTTTTTTTCCCTGGCTCTGAGGAGTCAGATTACCTTTCATCAGCATCCATCTCTTCTCTGATGTCCCAGTTGAAGGTGAATAAATGGAATTCTGTCCTAGCATGCAGTTAGCTGGGCTGATCAGTCTGGCATCCTTCCAAATTATGAACAGCGTGGCAGTTTGTTAGTACAGATGATGTAGTATAGGACAAAAGGGAACATATATGAAGGAATTTGTTCAGTGAAAGCTATTTATCTAATGACCCATTTTCACAGTCAACAGGAAAACTTAATATTCTCCTATTTACTTTTGGTGATCAACTTTCCCTGGCTGTTATTTTTAGTTATATCTCCATCATTCTCATGTTGCTGTCAACCAGTATCTTACCTGTTATTTTCACATGATGTGAAAATCATAGATCATGTATAGGGTGGTGGGGGAAGACAAATAACTTGGGAATCTTTTGGTAGATGTCAAAGTGAATGTTCAGGAAGAAATAGGTCAGAATATAGTTGTCCGCTATTCAGAACTTAGGGTTTTGCATCTTAGACTGCATGTATGAGGCTGTTTTTTCCATCCATATAGACTCCTTCCTCCCAATTAATTTTATCTGTTGATTAACGGAAAAGCTTGAGGATGTTTAGAACTTCTACCCTTGTTGCTTTTGGGGCAACTATATTACACTGGAAGTTACCCACTGATGTTTCGTCACTGTAGGAATATCCCTTATTTAAATAACAGTTAGTTCCAGTTGATGTTAGAGTACTTCTTCTCCCACCCTTGGATTATAGAAATCCTAACCTTGAGAACTTTGTGTAAATCTCAAAAATTAGAGCACCTCAAAGTGCCTGAAGTTAGGGCTGCCTAATGCAAGTAAATGGGCTGTATAACCACATATTGTGGACCACCAGATGTTTGATAAACCTTGAGCTTTTGTGCTCACCTGGGTTAACACAAACTGGATTTATCAAGCATGCCAGTATTTTGTGTAATGTGGCTGGAATACAGTTTGTGACCTGGAGGCTATGAATTTGGCATCTGAAATTAGGAATCCTTTGTTTTGAACTACCTGGATAAGTTTTAGGGAGCATCTCTTGCGTGGAACACAATTATTTGGAAGCAGCAGTGGGGCAAGACTCCTTTCTTCTCCTGCTTCTACAGGATGGTGGGGAATGGGAGGGCCACTCCCATTCTTTCTTCTCTTCCTCACGCTTCCAAGAAAACCTTGTGGATTGAGGGTGGAGCTGTAGCCCTACCAAATACCTCTCCCTCCACACAAGATGGAAGGTAAGAGGGAGCAATAACCTGATGCTCCCTGAAGATACATGGGAATGGGGTCACTTGGCCAACCCTCCAGGGGCGTCACCTATATTGGGGGGGTGATTTCCCAAGAACTATTCGTGGGACTTGCCAATCAAATTGGCTGAATAACACCAATGGATTATATTACAAATATTTGTACACACTGTTGTTCTTGTTGCTATCCTCTTAGTCCCAAATAGTCCCTGGATAATGGAAATATTGGAAATAAAATGACAGCTCCCCTCCCCCCAGACATTCATTTCCAGTTAATACCTTATGCATACACAAGCCAATTAGTTCTTCAAAGTAATTGCCTTGGGTCAATGCCTTGGATGGCTTATTCTAGACCCTCACAGAATCATTGCCTCGCAGCATCTCTGTTGTGTGGAGAATTATCCTCCTCACCATATTTATAATGCTTTACAAGGGCAGTGATATGGTTTTAAGTGGCTACGGTAGTTTGCATCCTTGTTGCATGCTTTTCTCAGCTTTTTTTTAACAGTTCATGTTTTTGAACCCTGCAGTCATAATTCTTAAACTTTATAGTACTCTTCATCTTGGAACATCTTTGCAAGCATAACTCTTACTCCAGCCCTGTGAGACAAGTTCTTCAGGTATTATCCTCTGTTCATAGATGAGGTAAATGAGCCCTCAAGATTAATGGAGTTTTCATAGACAGGGATTTGGTTTGGGAATTAGACATTTTGGAGCTTAAATTATTTGGGCCCCATCTCTCAGTGACTCCTGAATATAGTGCTAAAATTTTGGGTTATTTTAGTATTAAAGCACTGGTCTTTTATTTTGAGAACTCTTCCTCTGTCCCTGTACCCCAAGCTTCCACTTCCTTCACTTTTTGCTTTGGGTTCCCTTTGCACAGACCACCATTACTAGCTGAAAAATAAGTCTTATCTTTATTTTTTGGCCCTATAAGATTGCAATATCTACAGTAATTCTTCTGGTCACTTAGAGCCTTAATACCACATACCCAGAAAATTGTCAAACTATGGTCTTGATTCCCTTATTAGGTATATATAACATTTTATATATTTATCTATAATCCTTTTTATGCCCAATTTATTTATATTGGAATGGGGTTAAGACTATCTTCTGCCAGCTTAAAAACTTATACATGTAGAAATTTGTGTAAAGGTGTAAACACACACTATAATCATATTTTAATTGTAGATGTCTGGAATGATGCAATCAGTGATGCCTGGAATGATGGCGCCACATATGTCTCATGCTCCCATGCAGCCTCCAGGACCGGTAACTATTAAATCTATCTTCTACTTGATTTTAAAATACTCACAACCTCTGACTTCAGCATTTTAATCAGTATCTTTTTCTGTTGAAAAATGGCTAAGTTTGAACAATTATGCTGTTAATTACTGAACACTAATAAAGGATAAAAATTAATATTGCTTCTAGTTTGGTATTAGGTGAGTGACTCCTTTTTAGTCTCCTATTTCCTATAGGCCAAAGATTACTCAAAATTGAGTGACTGCTTTCATATGTAACTACAAATTAGCTGGAACATTTAATAGAATGATTACTGCAGTTTTGGTAGTTCTTTAAAATGTATATGTGTACAGTAGACTAAAAGGATTGTATCAAAATGACCCTTAATAAAGACTGAAGGCATTAGTGGCTGTTAGAATTTCATGAACTTGTTTATTGTGGGAGTGCCACTGTGTTTAAAGGCTACATAACTTGTCAACAAGTTAATAGAATTGAACTATGGATACTTTGTAAGACAATATTAGAGTTCACATAAAGTATCCCTACACACCTTCTGGGATTCTGTAGCACAGAGAAACCTCAGTGAGTACTAGGCTGTGTGCACACCACTTGCAAATACTATCATTATTTGTTTTATTGTTCATTTATTTGTTCAATCAATGTGTATGCCTCCCCACTAGCCATAGGCTCTTTGGGCGCTCACATCATTAAAATCCATGCAACCGGCATAATATAAAACACACAAGACAATTGACAATTAACACTAATAACACTAAAAGCATAATGCTATCAAAATCCAATAAAACCAGAATGCAGAAAATAAATAAAATATGTAAACAATAACCTAAAGATAAAATAAGACCATTCAAATTAATATTGTAACAGGTTAGCGGCAGTACAATATGTTAATTAAAATAGCAGTAACAAGGGTCATCTAATCAAAACAGCTACAGACCTGATGTCGGTGCCAACCATATCACCAGTGGGATTGAGTTCCAGAGTGTGGGCACTATACTCAAAAAAGCACTCTCCTTGCAAACTCTCCCCCACTTCAAGGCGGGAGGAACGTGAAGGGGAGCATCAAATGAAGACTGTAGTGACAGGGCTGGTATGTATAGGGAGCGGTGTTCCTTTGGATAACCTGATCCCAGGCCACTTAGAGCTTTGTATGTTATTGTAAGCACTTAGAATTGGGCCCAGAGAGCAACTAGCAGCCTGTGCAACCTGTGTAGGACTGTAGCATGAGGTGCTCATGAACACTGGTCCTAGGAAGTGGGTGTGCTGCCCCGTTGTGGACAAGTTGCAAGATCTGGACCGTTTTTGAAGGCAGCTTCATGTAGAACACACACAATTATTTATTAATTTATTTTTCAATTTATAATCCTGCCTTTTTCCTACAAAGGGCTCAAGGCAGCTTACATCATCTCCTCCTCCTCCATCTTATCCCCACAACAACAACCCTGTGAGGTAGGTTGGGC